AAATTCGTCCCTATCCGAGAAGACTAGAATATCTAACCATTTCTTGATGTTATATAGAAAGGCAGCATATTCTTCTCAATTACTTGAAGACCTTGAGTGTTGGTCCGGCCGGGGCTCGAACCCTCGACCTCCCGCACATCAGGCCAGTGCTCTATCCATTGAGCTAACTGGGAAGCTGAGGATTCTCAACCTTAGCTATAGGGAGCCAATTTAGGGAGCCCTAAAAGTGACGGCTCTAATCTTGTCTTATTGCTTTGCTTTTGTCACGCTCTTGTGAGAAACAGCACTTCGAGACATGCAAAACGTACACACTGCAGACAGCTTCGAGGAACACACGAGTGATCAAATCGATGTTATTTTCTTAGCTTTCTAAGTGAAATCATGATTGAAGGTGGATTTGTTGAGGAAAATCTCTGAGATACCTAGAAAACTACGTCCCAGCCTCTTTTTCAAATTCATCGTGAAACATTTCGTATAAAACTCAATTACTGAAAAACAAAAAAAACAAAAAAAGAAAAGAAAAAGGAAAGAAAGAAAGAAACGTTTGAAAGGTATTTAATGAATATACTTAAGTGTAATCGATAAAAAACCAACACTAAAGTTTCTCATCGAGCTCTTTGCTTTCAGGAGCTCTGAGCCATGGATTTTGGTGGTGCGTACTTCCGCGTAATGGAGAGGGTTAATTTGGGACGTTGGAAACAATGCTTGCTGAGGATTGAGCAAATGAAGTCTTTTTTTTAACTACGCTTCGTGCTCCGGTTTAGGTTGGCGAGTGTTTTTTCATCTGTTGTGATCTGTGGGTACTTAGTTACATTTGCTATTTTACAGATGGCTGATAATTGAGTGCCAAGTTTCATTTGAGAGCGTACCCTCGCTCCTTTAAATGTTTGCCATCGTTAATAATTTGCTGTTCAATAGTGCAGCTCCTACGAACGAGATGCACAAAAGGAAAATAGAGACTGTGGTTGTCGTTAGATGGCCTTACGGCCATTCGACTGAATGCAAAACTGTACTTTTCGTGAAAAGCTTCGTGACTGAACGGCACGGCCGGCTTTTCGAACTTGGCTCAATTTATATATTTATTGCAAGGGGAAATGAGCGCTTGGGAAAGAAACACGGAACATTAATGAAGGGTAAGATAAGAAAAAACATAGAGCAAAGGAAATTTTTAGTTTATCTCAAGAAAAATAGATTGCCTTACTTAGTATTATTGGTGCAAAAAGATGGAACGGAATTGTATAACAGGAGAGAAACAGAGAAAAAAAAGAAAACATTATCTTGGACCACATACGCTATGAATAAAGGAGGCAAAACTAGCTAGCCCACATGCAATTCTGGTGACAATTGTATCCCAGTGCAGAAGTCTATACAATTTGCACATGTATTTAACTTTTTATTAACCCAGATCACGCTAGAGGCTGTCTGAGAATGGAGCTGAGACAATGCATATTTTACTAACAACGATCCATCGCCTCCCAGATACGTGAAGTTTTTGGATCTTCACCAGCATCTGTCATTATCGTGTCGTATGACACTTCAAAACCATATAAACCATATAAAAAGAAGCATTTTAAACTGTACACAATTGCAACGACGCAACATGTCTTCTTAAACCTCTCCAAGTGTTCGCAGCCCCTGCCTTACATGGGCTCAATTTTGGTTCCGGTTCCACAAAAGCTCTAAGACGTATACCAGCATGTACTTCCTATAAGGTCTGATTTAATTCAGGCCTCTTTTCGGGCTGCTTTGGAGCTCAATTTTACAGTTGATAAAAATTTTGCTATCCTTTGTTTAAAATTATTATGATCATTAAATAACCCTGAAAAAAACATTTGAAAAGAAATTTTGAAGCCATGATAAAATTTGTCCTTGATGAAACAAACCTATGGATCAGGGGGAAGGGGGCTGCAGGCCTCAAGTAAGGAATGGGGAATAGGGGTGAAATTAGAGGTATCTTCACTGGGAAATGCGGGCGCCCAACCCTTAGGGCATCAGCACTGGTGTTAAAAAGCGAGAGCCCACAATGTCCTCCTTGAGATCTTAATTTCAAGACATTGGAAAATTTTATCGAACTTTAAAGTACCATACACATAAACGAAATGGTCGTCGTGACGGTTGCTATGGTTTGATGGAGACCATTAAAGGGGTGAAGGCAATTTAAGAATTACTTTACAGACTCTACCACACATAACAAGTGCAACACAAGTGCTTTGTCACAAAGTGCATTTTTACAAGGTGCTTACACAAAGTACATTCAAAGTGAGCCCTATACTTTATATTGTGCAATAGAGGGAGAACTAAACTCATAATTATTAATCTAGTGCCGTGTAATTTACAATGTCTACACGAAGAAGCCTACATTCCACACAATGAGCTTTCTAATCAGTACGTGCATATTTACAAGGTGTTTCACAAACAGGATAAATACCTATACCATACATTATAAATTTTTTCAGTCATTATGTACAGATGATCACACATAGGAAATAATAACTGTGTCCTATATGTTACGATAAAGATTTGCAGGACCTTCACACACCTCACAAAGATCCTTCGTGTGGTAATGTTTCCGTAACTACAGTAATTAAAAGGTCATTTCCAAAACGTGGAATACATCGAGAAAAACGCGCATGCCCTGCGTTCCTGTAAAAAACTCCACGTTAAAGCTTTTTGTTTACCGCCTGACGAAACACTCCAAGAGCCAGAGCTCCAAGCCAAGCCCAAAAGCTTCATGCAGCTCTAATTATTAAATCCTTAATCTCTAAGAAATTCTGAAGTCTTTTTGGACTGAGTAGAATGCGTTTAGAAATTTATAAATAGGAAAAAAAGGAAAAGATGTAAAAACTTTTAAATAAACGTATACTTACATCAAAAGTTTGAGTTGTTTGTTTGAATTGATTTAGAACTGAAAATTTGGATTTATTTTATACCTTTTAAATTCGGTAAGAGAAGTTTCTTCAACTCATTGCTACATTTTGCGTCGATCTCTGCGGCAAGTTTCGGTTTGTAAGTTTGGTTGTAGGACTTCTCTACCTCAGCAATCACACCCTAGAAGAATAAAGAAAGAAAAAAGATTTAGCGGGCACTACGTCATGAATAGAAATTCAAACAAATGAACCAAATTAACAAACCTAAATACACCCTTAACACGCCCACATATAAAAAGACATTGTACTGTTTTCTCCCTTGAAACCCCTGAAAAAGTTGCAAAGGTAAATCAGTTTTGCCGAGAGAAAATAATGGGACCTGGCCCATTATATTCTTACAGGTGATTAGAGACGAACGCCCACTAATTGTTTGAGAACAGCTGTCAACTTTCTTCTTTTTTCGATATTGCAATTTAATCCTGAATATCTCAAACTTTCCGTTTTTATTTTGACGCATCTTGCTGGACCAAAAAAGCTAAAAAGGGGTTTTCTTGTATAATAAAGTATCAGAAAAACGATTAAATAATCGAGTTAGGATGAGAAATGATACAATCCGCCGAAAGCTTATGCCCCCAACAGAATCTTATTACCTCTCCTAAAACGATCCGAGCAGCCGTTGCTGTAGATTTGCCATGAAGTGCAACTTGCAGCTTTTCCGCGAGGAACTGGTTCTTGTCTCTGATACACTTGACAAGTGTTTGCAGTCCATCCCGCAGGTCACCTGACATCTCGGAGTCAATGGTGTCCTCGATTTCACACTTGGCCCACTGCAAATAAATGTGACTCAAATATAGATTACTTGGTAAATTTTTATCGCTACTTGTTTGATTTATTAATGTATACCCTATATCAACCATACGAAAAGGTGTTTTTAGAAGAAAACAACCTGCTGCAGCTGTATTCGCAAGCGAGCACAGTTATCAGGAAAAATGTCCGCTTTGTAATGGCACAACGAACTTGTCGACGACAATTATTGAGACAAATTAAACCTAGGTTGGTATAATTACCATTAAACCCTTCAATTAGTTGGATAACTGCGCCCTGATCGAGTCATCTGCATCAGTAAATTTCCTCCGGGATAAGTTTGACCTCAGCAAGTTGCCTTATCAAATAGCTGGCATGATATTTTTTCAATAACTTCTAAGTCAGCTTTTCCAGCTATCAAGCCAAGAAAAACTTGTCAAAGGACAATGAACAAACTTCATTTAGATGGAAGAACAGAAGAACAATTAAACAACAACGACTAGGACACACACTGAATTCAGTGATTACCTTTTTGTATTCTGGAAGCATTAGCTTCAACTGCGGAAAGCTACGTGTGGTAAATATTGTTATAAAAGTTTCCTCGTCTGTGCCCCATTTCTTTATACCAGCCTGTTGATAACAAATAAGATTTGAAAATTAATCAACGGTTAACGGCGCGGAGTGATATCACTGAGTTATAAGGATGCAAGCGGAAAGTCGTTCTCAGCAATAGAAGTGTGTAATTTGTTTGGGCCGATAGCCAAGCCGACCATCTCTAGATTCTTCACTTTCACAAAAATTTAGGATGGGGATTGTGCTTTCTCTAGCAATTTGATTACAAGTGAATCTCACCTCCAACAAAGATTCGGCGTCTTTATGTGCAAGGTCGTCACTCACATCAGTGCCTTCGTCTCGTTGACCCTAAAAGCAGAAATTACGAGATCAACAAACAAATCACATTTTTTCCTTATTGCAAACTTCGCTCTCCTTTGCATTTGGGTAGGGAAATTTATGAATAAAGAGTTTGAAAAAAGGAAAAAACATTGAATCAAGGATAAAAAAGGACAGATAAGTTCGTTTGTTCCTTCGCCTGTTTTTCGTTGGTTCGTTCACTCATTTGTTCGTCTGTCCGTTCGTCCGTTCGTCTGTTAATCCATCCATTTGTTCGTTTATTCGTTCGCTCGCTTTTTCCCTAATCGCACGATCGTTCGTTCCTTCGTTCGTTTGTTCGTTCGTCTCGGTGTTCGTTCGTTTGTTCGTTCGTTCGTTCGTTTAATTTGTTTGTATGTTCGTTCGTTCGTTTGTTCGTTCGTTTGTTCGTTCGTTTGTTCGTTCGTTTGTTCTTCGTTTGTTAGTTCGCTTGTTCGTTTTTTCGGTCATCCTTTCATATATTCGTTAGTTTGCTCGTTAAGCAATTCGTTCTTTGAGTTAACTCATTAATTCCTTTGTTTGTTTATTAGGTAAAATTAGTCCATTTTTCCAGCACACAAACCTTGCTGAGTTCAACGAGAAGAGTTTCGAAGTCGCCACTCGTTTCATCCTTAATAACTTGTTCCAATTCCTTCCTGTATTCTGATAACAACGTATAAGCAAACTGTTAGTTACGAAGAGTAAATAGATGACGGTTCCTACATTCAACTGTTACGAGGATAGCTGAAGGTACCAACAAAACTAAAACATCAACAATAAGAAGGAATTCGAACGTGTCTTACTTTTCTTATAAGCTTGTCTTATTGCGGCGATTTCCTGGTTAATTGAAAAAAGAGAAACCTTTAGAAATTTTTCAGGTAAAGTGTATTTCTACGGAGCACTAAGTTTGCGTTAGCCATTTTAAAAAATTTACAAATACCTACCGCATTTGTTCGCATTGAGAATACTTCAATTAATACGATCTCCTTGGTAAACAAACCCTAAAACAGATACAAACAGATTTCAAATGAACAAACCGCAAGAATACAAAACAACAAGTAGTGTGTGAGAAAGGGTAGTTATGACTCTGTAAGCATTGACTAATAGTTCTTTGCAGTGTCTGAGTTTCCAGAATATTTTCCCGCGCTTAGTTTCTGAGTGGTAAATACTTCCACGCAAAATCTAAATCCAAAAATCCGTTGGTATGAAACACTGGACATTCAATTATTACTTCAAGAAGAAATGTAAAAAAATGGCAGAAAAGAAGGTCGAGATAATTCAGGCTTCAGGAACGTGCGAACCTGTTTCTCCCAACTACTGGTTGGGCGCTACTACCACATGGACTGAGAACTCAAATGTTGGGGCGTGGCTAATTTCTAAGAGTTTTTTTTTTTTTTTTGGATCGTTCCTTAAAGAATCTGATCGAGACGAATTGAAATGACTTGCATTTTAAGCTTCGGATGATATTTAAGAAAAGAATAAACCCGAGCTGATATGCGTTGGTAAGATAATGACCCACCTTCATAGCCAAGTGCAAAGTTCTTGCATCGTGCTGAGCTTTGTTTAAGGACAGGGCGGCTAAAGCTTCCAGAAGGTCTTCTCCTAATTTCTCATCCAAGGCTTCAAATAATTCCTAATAAAAATTACAAAAACATATCGAAATCATTTAAAACGCTGGAAGAAGTTTTGAGGCAAAACTCTAGACTCTGTCAGCATAAAAATTCACCTTTCCATATCTTGCGTTGTAGTCCTCGACAAGCTTCTTGGCTTGTTCCTTATCCTTGAGATTCCTGCATACAATCTCTTTTATTTTCTTTTTGTCGTTAGCTTCGCAGGTTAAAAAAAAACCAAGAACATACATTTAGTTAACGGCATCAGATAAACACAAAATGAATTATCTTGAAAGGAAAAGGTATATGGTAAGGAAAGCTAGGAACTGTATAGTACAAGAGCCCGCACCCCTCCCCTAGATGGTGTTCCTGTGATTCAGGTTGATACCCACCGTCAATCGCTGCGCGTAGGTCGGCGTATTCTTGTTTGTCATCTTGCTGAGTTCTCTTCTGCTGCGAGGGCTTTCTGTTGACAGTAGGTTTCTTTCCTCCAGCACCTTCTTGTTTGTTGGCGGCCGTTTGCTTTTTCTTTTTCGAGTCATTGCTAGCTCTTTCCTTTATTGATAAAAAATGTGAGTATTCAATGTTATAAGCCCATAGACAGCTATAAGATCATTGATAGAACAGGTTGGGTTCGCTCGGGCGGTCGTCAGCTTGTATTTCTATCGAATGTCAACTCATTCAGTAGCTAATATCATTGACTGCTTACTCGGTCTTTTGTTCGCTTGAACATTCACGTATTCGTGCATTTGTTCGTTAATTCAACTTAGTCACGTTTCATGGAAGCAAATAGCGCAGGAGAATTTAACGGTCACAAGTTAGGCAGATGCAACAATACTGACCTTTTCTTTCTGTTCTTGGCCTGCTATCATAAAAGGAAAAGAAATAAAAAAAAAAGGTAAGGAAATCATGATAATCTTCGCATTTTAATCTTGAACGCAACGAAATAGAATGAGCCATTAAACGCAATAAATATTTACCTTTCTTGAGTTTGGGAAGAATCAGCTTTTTCATGTTTTCACTGAACTTCGCTTCAGCGTCTTTAGTGAGGTCATTTCCAGAAACCTTTTTGTACCTTCCCAAGATGTCTGCTAGTTCAGCCTGAAAACAAACAAACGCGCAACCAACTTTAAAAGGCCTTTACAGGGATGATACCAAGAGCAGTTTCATGGCAGCCGCAAAAATTTGCTAAAAACTTTGCCTCCCACCACCTCGGATTCTACCCTATTTTTTAAGGTTATTTACAGTTTGTCTTTTTAGTGACGGGGTTCTGATCACATCTTTACTTAAAATAAAGTTACTCATTTTATTTCAGTCATGCAAAAGCCCTACCGTTGTCCTTGTGAGAATAATTCGACCTCGCGTGTCCGTTTCACCCTCTTGTAATGACTTCTGAATTTTGTTAGCGTAAAACGTTGAAGGATCACGAGTGTATTTAACTGTGAAGAAAACAAGAGAATCTCGTGAGGTTTTCGGCACAACTAGTAACACATTTCGCAGCACATACCTGTAATAAGCACCCCACCCCCTTCCGAATATGAGCCCTGCACACAGTTTCTTGAATAAGAGAACAAGAAAAATCTTGAACCTGTGATTGTAAGGGTTGATACTTTCAAAAAAATCAAAGCGGTACAAATATACTCCAGTTACAAATCTGGACTAAATAAACGGAAACATCTTTCTCCGAAATGCTTGACGCAAGAATACATTATCATATCATAACGTAACATAACGTAACATACTGTAACATAACGTAATATAACGTAACATAACGTAACATAACGCCTCCTTCAAGCTCCCACTTAAAAGTCAGTTGATCCGACAGAAAAACCGCTTACGAGTTGTTTACAGCCAAGGCAAATCAGTGAACATTTTACCTAAGGCTAAGAATCCTTTCTCCAAGTCTTGGCTCATTTCCTCCTCGATGCATTCATCCATTTCTTGGTTTGTTAGCTGTAAGGTACATAGGACCAACATCATTCACCCATGAATAGCAAAGCTTATTTCAGGAACTTACATCAGTACGTTCAAAGTGGCTATTTCTCAGTTTGTACTGACATCTTAAATTGTTTTTCAATTGCAATCCGTGTTAATGTCTTCTATTCTAAACCGTTTTCGCTTCGTTTTGAAGTATTGAAGCAATTTTCAATGTGTTGAAAGCAGTCTAGGTTTGTGTTGGTTTATCTTACGTCGCCCTGTGATTGGTCTAGACAATTCGCGTCTGTCTCTCAACCAATCAAATGCAAAATTAAAACCAACGTAGCCTTGGTTACCCATAACTTCCCGCGCTTTAGGCGTCTATTGTCGTTTCTTTTTATTACAAGTTCCCATAGTCTCCTTGCATGTATCTGGTTGATTTGTTTTGGTTTGAGGACACAAAATCGAACTGTACTGTTAACATAATTCTAGAAGCCTTACCTTTTTATATTCCTGGAACACTACTTTGAGGTGAGGAAAACTTCTTTGCGTGAAAACCTGCACAAATTTGTCCTCATCCGTACCAAGGAAGCTAGCCTTGAGAAACATAAAAAAGGAAGAAAAACGATAATGATCATTCCAAATCAAGATGTTGAAGGCACAGGATCTTGTCGACTCTCCAAAGGACGAACTAGTTTGCACTTGCTTTAGACGCACGAGTTTTCATTTCGCAAGAAACCTAACAAAGTGTAATGATTCGCTCGAGCTCGTCGGAAATCTTATGGAGAATTATGAATATTGTCTTTTTGTCTTAGTACTCACACTTTTGTCTCAGTACAAACGTGCATATTTTATTTAGTACACGCAGGTGTGCGTAGTGACGCGCAGTTTGCGTGTTTCGCTCGTGCAGTGCGTGGTACACGCGAGCGGTACTGCGTTTGAGCGTCATATGACGATATTCCTAACGAAAAAGGAAAAAACTTGCTGTTCGATGTATGTTTCTTCATTACTCCCTCATTTGGTTTGGGGAGATGACAAACAGAGGCTTCTTGCCTGGATTTACTGTAAACGTTAAGATAACATATTGCTTCTGAAAACATGAATACCTGCATAATTGCCTCTGCGTCCTTTTGAGCTAAACTTTTATCAATTTTACTGGTTTCATCTCGTTTACCCTAGATGGGAAAGGAAGACAGTACAAAAAAAAGAGTTAAAAGAAGACCGGAGAGCCTTAATATAACTTTTTGATCTACCCTATCTACATTTAAGCCCTCAGCATTTTTCAAAAGTATATCCATTTCAGTAGAGGTGAAAGTCTCGGTTGTGTTGTTGGAATGATTTAGCCTTGGAGACCCTGGGTAAGAGTTGAAAAGAAATTATATAAGGTCCTCCTCAGTTTCCTGTCAATATCTTGACCAACAATTTGCAAGTACTCTAACTTGTCCTAAAGAGCGTTTAACACTATAGCGACTCGCCCCTAAAACTACTTTTGACCTTGGTCAGTGCTAGGAACAGCAATTCAGCTGTGCACAAACCATTGGGTGTACACATCGACTCTAACAATTTCCTCCTGAAAAATTCATTAAGCAATAGGATGTGTTTACACTCACCTTGCTGAGCTCAACCAAAAGATTTTCAAAGTTACCACTGGTGTCCCCTTTAATGTCTTTCTCTAAGGACCTGCCATAGACTGGGGAAAATAAACAAACATAAGAACAATTGCTAAGAGCCACTTACCAGTAAAAAATTTTCCACGCTGGCCGGCGACAAGCTTACGCGCCTGTTGCGACTGCTACAGTTTGAACCGTCCACTTCTTCCCTCCCTTCAAGGCAGGGTAACCTCTTTGTTTTTAATCATCTATTCATACAATTACATTGGTAGTGTACTCATTGAGTCATTCATTTTTTATCCACAGGCTTTATCTATTCATCTATCTTTGCAGTTGTTATATGCTTTCCACCTTTGTCACCAGTTTGTAACAACTGAATTTCGGTTTAAGATCACTATAACCTGACATGATTTATGTTTTGTTCTGATCTTTGACTTTGTTCCGAGAACTCGCTTTATTACTTCGCCTCAGCTTTGTACTTACACGCTGTGTACTTCTCTTTGATTTTGGCCAATTCCTGATTGGAAGAAAAAAAATTATTTAAGTTTGTGTTCCAATAGAATGTATTAATAAGGAAAGAGCAAACTAGTAACCCCTTTTACCTCTAAGAATGACCAGTATCTAATTTCTCCTTACAATATCACCCCTGAATCCCACATTAAGGTCAGGAGAATAAAAGAAATGATCACCAACTAAAAAGACTTTAGGTGTTTCAACAAATTCTCCTTGTCAGCACCTAAGGAAATGTATAGAGAACAGTATGGAGAATATGCATACTGATGCATGTTAGGGCGCAGGGAGAAGAAGGCTACTACCTCCTTTGACCCAAGGTTCAAAAGCTAAGGTCAGGCAACGACTGCGCATGCGAACTTACCGCGTTGCTTCTTGAACAAAGAATCTCTGTTAACACATCTTCATCAGTGCCCAGGCCCTACCGAGACGGAGATAAAAGCAGGTAAAGCGATTCAATAAACCGTTCGAGGAAATGACTTGGAACAATTTGTGACCCTAACTGAACTAGCGATAATTAAGTCCTTCAGCAAATAAACTACACTTCGTAAATTTATTAACTGATGTCAATATTCAAGGAGTCTCCATTAAATCGAAATTTGAAGGAAGTTTCTCTTCATACCTTCATGGCATAGTACATGATTTTCGCGTCGTAAGAATCACTCTCCATAAATAAAGAATCTGCGGCGTCTTGTAACTGTTCTTCCTCCAAAACTGGTTTAACAGCCTCCAATAAATCCTGCAATCACCACAAGGGTATTTACACGTCATTTACAGATCGAAGTGTAAAAAATCATAGAAAAACGACACATTCTACTGAACTAGAAAGATTTAGCGATAAAATAAAAATCCTGCAAAGTACAGAAAGGTAAAACTAAGTGCACTGATAACAAATAAAAGTTTGCCAATCAACAGAGGTTACTGAATCCTATAAACATCACTGATGATTTTACCTGATCGTGTTTTTCTTTGTATTTATCCTTCAGTTGTTGTAATTTGGATTTTTCATCACTGTGTTTCGCTATGACGTCCACAGCCTTGTCTTTATCACCAGCTGTTGGTAGAAGAAAAAGATATCATTTTAGACTCATTAATACTTTATGTATCTTACATCTATTATATAGCTATTTACCCGTCAGTCGATCAAACTATGGGGAAAAAAATAATCGCTTAGATTTCGTTTTTTATCTCAGACAACCACACCAACTCATATTCACACGCCAGAAATCATCAAGTAAACGTAAATAACCTTTACAATAACAAAAAAGGAAATATGAAGAATGAATGTAGAGAAAGTCTCGGTTAGATTACAAATGACAAGAAGTTTACTTGTGAGGTCAAGGTTAAGAGGAACAATTCAAAAACACCAGAATTTAATAATAATAACAACAATAATATACGTTTATTGAGGCTCCCCCTTAGGGGCTTTTCAGCCACAATGTAGACTAACTAAGAGCTCAAAAAATTCCCACTGGCAGGAGGCAGACCAGTGGGCTATTTACAGAGCGCAGCCGAGGAGTTGAACTTGGGGCAACCGAGAACAAATCCAGTGAGTGGCAGGGTGGAGGACTTGAACCCAGGACACCGGATTACAAGTCCAGCACCCTAACCACTCGGCCACGCCGCCTCCTGTAATTTGAACTTTAAAAGAGGACGTACCATCAATAGCTTTCTTTAACTCATCCAGATCCCTTTCCAAAGTAGCTTCCTTGTTCTCCTCGTTATTTTTCTTTGTATTTTTGTCGGTTTTCTTGTCGTTCTGACTCGCTACTCCTTTAGGTTTGTCTTTAACAGCGTCCTGTTTTGCTCCAGGCTATATATTGCAATGAGAATGTGAGATCTCTTTATTGTGATAGTATTGTCGAAATCTTTGAGGAGGGAATATCTAAGGAGGGGGCAGGAATGGGGATTCGTGCGACTCCTTTCTTGTTTTTTCTACATTTCAACACAATTGGGTCCCCCCCCCCTCCCCATTAACGGTTACTCCCCTATCGTTGACTGGCTTAGTGAGAAAGTAAAATTTATTGAAGAAAACAACACTTACGCGCATATTTTTATCAGTTTTCTTATTGTCCTGCGCTGCCGTGGGTTTAGCTTTAGGTTTTTCTTTTACTGCTTCCTTCTTTGGCTTTTCTTGTTTCACCGGCTGTGAAATGTATCATTTAAGCAGATTATGACTTTGAAGAGTTGTACCATGAGCGTCTAATCTGCATGAGAGTTTATCACTGCCTTTTCCCATTTGAAATTGTGTTAACTGATATATTTTCTTTCTTCGACCTGTCTGAAATCATTTTATCCTGTTAAAAACATTACTCCTGGGTCTTCCAAAATTACTAACCACGACCCTCTTAGAGATAAATTGAAGAGTTTATAAATCTTTGTGAGGTTTATTCCTCCCGGCTCAGTCTCATGTCGTGATGTCTTTTGAAATCAGCCTTTTGACTAAAAAACTTTAAGGTTTTTCTGATTTAACATATAACATACCTTCTGTTGTTTCTTGTTCTCTGCGCCTGAAATCAAATAACAAAAACGTTCAACATATTTTTTTTTCATTCCATGAGTTTCGAGTCCTAAATCATGAAGAAACAGTATTTTCTTTGTCCGAAGCTTCTTTCAATTGTTAAAACTCTCTTTTTATCATTACCATCACATTACCTTTTCCTAGTTTTCCAAGCAGAAGCGTTCTCAAATCTCCACTGCATTTCTTGCCAATCTCATCCGCCAGTTCAGCTTTGTGAGCTTTCTTATAAGCTACTGCAAGCTCGTCCAACTGCGCCTACAATAACAGAAACCAGCCAGGTCAGCGTACCTTTAAACTTATATCAAGCCAAAAGCTTGGCTTGAGAAGAGCAACTGAACAGTAAAGGAGATTAACCTTTCGGTCAAAGCCATGATTTCTCATAGCTTCACTTTCTCTTTAGCACTTCAAAACATTCAGCGTTTTTAAAAAAATATATTTTCATCTCTTCACATTTGTGAAGATTTAGGTATTAACAAATACAGTGAAATGTAAATCAAACCAGAATCATGCATCCCTCGTCAGTAACAACGGTATCAACAAAAATAACAAAATTGTTCTCGAGAGCATTTCTTTTGTGAAATGCGTTTTTTAAATTTTTTCAAATTTTTAGATTTTTGTTTGTTATCAACTGACGAGGTCGTAGACGAAACTAGTTTTGAAGTTCAGTTCGCAGTGGTGTGTTGAAAGTAGAAGTTAGTTGGAGTTTTTCACTGACATGGTTAATATAGCATTTCTTTTATACCCACCTTATTTTTTCCGAGAAGAATTCTGGCCACAGTTTTGGTGTCGCCCTCCTGCAAGGCGTCATGAAGTTTGTCCGAGTGAAATCCGGTGGGATCGCGGATACATTTTACTGTTGAAAAAAATCGACGGAACAAAGTAATTATTCAAAAGCAAGCTAAGTGAAAAGAGCATCATACCAAACTCCCTGACTCCTGACACTACTGCAAAGAAGTTTCGAAAGCGTTTTCCGACTGAGTAATTGTGAAACTTTAGACCAAAGCGAACAAAAGAACCAATCAGAGAAAAGAATACTATTATAAAGAACCAATAAGAAAAGAAGTAAAATACTTGTAAATGTCGTCTAGTAAGAGAAAGAGCGAGGTAAGGTAAAAAGCAAATAGCAGTGTGGTGCAATTTTGCTTGGAAAAACAAGTTTGGAAATGCGGGATAAATCTCAAGTCCCTCCCTTTTTGAAATTACTTACCAAGCGATAGAAACGCCTTTTGTAGATCCCCATCCATCTCATTGTCAATTGACTCTGCGATATCTTTACTTGTTAACTGAAAAATACATAGGCTAGCAGTTTAACGAGCTGCATCAATGTGAGGTGCGGGGTCTGGAGATGAGTGATCAATTCTTTCTCAAAGCAGAGTATAAGAGAACGATTTTTTCTGGGTAATGACTTCCCACAAGCACCATCGCTCCAAGAGAGGAAATTTAGACCTTAATATATTTCCCATTCGTTTAGGTTCTTTCGACAATGCTCAATTGTTATACGATTGTTTCTGTGTTCCCGAAAAATAATATCTGCCGAACGGCATTTCTATTTTCCCTCGAGAAATGACAGATGCAAAGCATCAGTGGTAATTGCAGAATACCTCACTTGGCATTTTATATGGAAATCTCTTAAGTTCACACAAAAGAAAAAAATGAAGTATTAACCTTTGAAAAGATAGACAATGTTTCATTATCATGTTACACTGACTCACTTTTTTGTACTCTGGAAAAGTTGCACCAAGTTGTGGACGACTTCTCAGCGTGAAAATGCGAATAAACTTCCCTTCATCCGTTCCCCAGCTGGCCGTTCCCGCCTTGAATATAATACAACAAATAAATAAAGAAGCAAACGAGTAAGCAATCGAAAAGTCAAGTAAACGAGTGAGCGAGAACAAGTAAAAAAAATGTGAGCAAAATGAGTGCGATATATTTTACCTCGTAAATTTCCTTTGCATCCTTCTTTGCCATTTCCTTGTCAACTTCATTGGATTCATCTCTTTGGCCCTAATATCAATGTCAATTGTCACATTTAAAGCATGATATTAAAATATAACCTTGGGTAGCTTTAAATTTTACTTTTTCTTTGAGTCATTTTGTAACAATTAGAACTGTTACCTTACTAAGTTCAACCAGTAAAGTTTCCAAGTCACCACTAGTGTCACCTTTCAAGTCTTCCTCTAACGAATGTTCATATTCTGCAACGGAAAGGAAGCATTTCGCTCAGTTCCAATATTTCAGCTTACCCTTTTTTTACCTCTTTTATCTTTAAAGGCACAAAATACCCACTTCTGCTGTAAGCTGCTCGAATATCGTTCAAGTGCTGCAGAAAAAGAATAAGTAGCACATCGATTAGTTAAAAAAAAGTTGGAGCTATTTTCAAACTCAACCGTAATTTCTCCAGGACAGCACAAACTTCAACTATGGGATAACGGTTCTGTCTACTAACTTTAATGAAAAAGGAAATCGACAGAAAAACCTACCGCATTTGTCCTGGTGCATAAAATTTCTATCAATATGTCCTCATCGGTGCCCAGGCCCTGGAAAGTGTAAATGTTTGATTCTAGCATTGAAATATAGTTACGATATTGAACTGTGAGAGAAGTGGTGGGCCAAGCATTGTCGCGCTGGACGTCCGATCGAGAAGTCAAGACATCTATTCCTCGTCATTTAGTTTCTCTGAACCCAGGAATAAAAGCGCGCCTTGACGGACGGAGAAAATCGGCGACTGATTGATTCAGCCTCACCGCCAAGAGAGGCATGCTATTGAAACCCGCGATAAGTTCTGATAACGATGTCGTAGATGAAAACTTCTGTTCGCTATATTGTGACAACAACGTAATGGAAGTCCCGGAAACAGACAAACATGAGTCGAGCCGAGACGTTCTGTCGTAACGTAACGATCGCGCGTTGCGTGCGCACGGAAATTTCATACTACCACACTCAGTATTACACTCAGAATTCTATACGCAGTAGCCAATCAGAAGTTGTACATATCTCGAAAGTTATGTCACTGGTAAACGAAGATATTGCATCGAAAGTCTATCGTACGGGCACGTCAAAAAGATATATCCTCAAATTGATTTGTATAACCTACCTTCATGGCTTCGTAAAGTTTTTTAGCATCCTCATCCGCACCCGAACCAAGACAGTCTAAAGTTTCTTGTAACTCCTCGTCTAGTTTTGGTTTGACTTCCTCCATTAAATCCTATTCAATTTTCGCATGATGAAAAGGCGAAAAGAGGAAATTAATTGAGTCATAGATACATTTTACAGGTGTTAAGACTCACACGGGAAGAGTTTGTCAATGAAGAGCTGATTTCTTTTATGAAATACTGTGGCTAAGGGTTTTACCAGTGCAATATACAACAGGTTTTTGACCAATCGCGGCGCGCGTAGTCTTCCATTTACTTTATCAAAAAATGTGAAAGAGATAACTTTTATAAGCAGAAGTTTGGACAACAACTGAAAGAAATTGTGATTCTTAAAAACATGAAGATTTTCGTCATCATCTTTATCGAAGGGAATTGACCAAAATCGTAGAGATACCTTCCTTGTTCTTACCTTATCGTAAAGCTCTTTGTACTTCTGTTTTAGTTTATCCATTTTCTTCTTTTCTGATACTCTCCCCAAGATTTGAAGAATCTTCTCTTTGTCATTCTCTACAAACATTAAGAAAATAAATAGACAAAAACCTTTATACCAGCAAACACTTGAGTTGCTAATGAGCCGTATCTTATTTTGGTCTACTTTGCCTGAGCAGACAAACATTGTCTATCTTGTTCTGAATATCCATTGTATAAACGGCATAAATTTGATTGGTGTTATTTAACAAACTGAAATTAAAACATGGCTTCGAAACTTTACTAAGTTTAAAAAGCTTTTCCACCTTCAATTGCTTTGTTGATGTCTTCTGCGTCCATGATTACGACATGTTCTGGATAATCCTCTTTCTTTTTGCCGCCGCCATCTTTGGTTTTCTTTTTGTTCTGGATGGGCGGAAGTTTTACTTGTTCATCCTTTTTCTTCTTTACAGTTTTCTCCCCTTTCTCGCCATCTGGGCTATCCTAAAGCGAGATTTAAGAAACCAAATATAAGCGTCTTCCAGTGAGGAACGACAACAAAACGCAACGAAACTTCTCTGTAAATTGTATAACGAGTCGGCTTAACTTACAACAGGAGGCAGTCTTTCCTTTTCCTCTTCGTCACTTTCACTTTCCTGAGGAAAACAAGTTGTCACAAAGACTGCTAGTTTTACGAAAATAGCCGTACAATAGAATGAGGGGAGTAAAAAGGTTTCCAGCAGGTAGGGGGGGGGTAGAAATTAAATGCCTTGATGGTTTTTCGAGGCAAACACACCTGCGACAAACCCCCTTCGCACCATACCCTTGAAGAAACCCGGCGACTGCTAAAACAGCTTTCTTTTTAAAAACTTCAACTCTACCTCGTCTTCATCCTCAATCTCTTCGTATTCTTTTGTTCCTCCATCCAACAACGTCAAGTAATACTGATGCTTTTTAAAATCCTTTTCCTGCCAATAAAACATTAACATTCTGATCTCATCTAATATGCAAACAAATGCTTGAGAACCAGAGAAAGAAAATTTTCAATTTGACTGTCACTAAATCATGTTTCATAAAAGAGAATCCTACCCATTTTTCTACATCATAATATGGTTGAATATTCTTCAATCTCTCGTGTTGTTTCTGAAAATTCAAAGAATAACACCACAACCATGCTGAGAACTCAGACAAATCCTGCTATTCATAACCTTAATTTGATACAACATTTTCCCACATCACATACTTGTCTGGCTCCATTGAGCTTTTCAAATCCTAATACAACTATACAAGGTCTTTTCACCCATTGATTATCCCATAAAATAACAATGGTCAAAGCTATGCTCCAAGAAAAATTGAAGGGAGCCCAGTGCTCTGAAACTGTGAAATCCAGGGTGCCCAGCATATGCTTTATTATGAAAAAAGTAAGTTTCCTGAGTCGCCCAAGAGCAAAAGTAAGGCCCCAGGGGCACCAGGCACTGCTAGATCACAGCCCTGATGGCACAATTAAAGTTGTCATTGCATCATAGGCACACAGAGCAGGCAAAGTCATCAGTATGCAGCAGTTAGGAATCAATTAGTCTACCTGAGTATGTTAGAGACAAGAAAAATTATCTATTCCCTGTTACCACAAACATGTTGATCCTACAATACAATACAATAACTTTATTTAAAGAGGGAAGCGCAATAACCTATTACAGTTTTCTAACCTACGGCCCTCAAAAATAAGTAAACAAATAGACAAATAAGTATAAGTATCCTAAACAACCAACCTCATTTTCCAGTTTTATTCTTCTTTGCCTTCGCTCCCTGAAGCTTCTTAACCTGTCATGGCTGATTAAAAGTAACAAAAAGAAAAATTTTTTTACACTGCTCAAAAATAACAACTGCTGATCATCAATACAAATAATTCCTCAATCATTACTTTGGGTATTTAAATACTTGAAATTCTTTGGACAAGTGAAGAGGTGATGATCCTAGTTCAAAACAGTTATTACTAGTAAGAACTCATAACTATGAACCCGTGTTTTTTGTCCGTAAATTCAGGCATACAGTTGTTTGATTTTGTCACTAAATTCAGGCATAGAGTTGTCTGATTTTTAATCAATACAAAAAGTATGCTAAAATGCACTTCTTGGATTTTTTGCATGAATTTCCATCAAAGGTTATGAGTGTGGAATAACGTACGTTGGTTGCCAGTCCTTATTCCAGTTATCAACCCTAGCTGGTGATTGCTTGATTTTCATCAGTTGGTTGAGAATGACTTCATTTTGCCGATCTATGGTGGCTTGCCTCTCCTGCTGCATCTGAAAGCAATTCAATGAAAAAATTGAAACTTTTATTTCATCTCACTTCCATTTCCAAGGGTAGGTCAGCCATCTGGCTTAAATTTCAATCGATGAGGTACTGATGTCTTGAGCTTTGCCATAACTAGCAACAATAATTATATCATTTTGATATCAGGTTAATTAACTTGAGCAGGCTGAAGGGAAGTTGCTGCTTGTCTTTGAGCAGGAACATTCCCAAATTCTGCTTGGGCAAAATTTTACTCTATCCCTTGATATGAATCTCATCAGAACTTACAATTCTTTGGGAGACCCCTAAAAGTCTCACCTTGAACAATGAAGATGGGTGAACAGAAAAAAAAAGGAAAGGAGATCATACATCAACCTTCAACACCACCAACCCCCCCCCCAAAAAAAACAAACAAACAAACAAACAAACAAAACAACTAGGGTTGCAAGACTTTAAAATATCTAATTCAAGTCCAGCAGTCCAACAATCATAATTCCTTAATTCACGTATTCCGGTGGTTTTCATTCTTCCAAACAGGTCCTCAGTAGTGCACGAAACATAGTAGGACGGTCAACTAATCTTTTGATATGGTCACAGTTTGGAAACCCCAACCAAAACTTCTGTGAAGCGCCTGCCTAATTTACCTACAGAGCAGAATTTGGAAGGATTCAAAATAAAAAAAAATATATCTATTCTTGAACAAAGCCACGGCATAAACTTTGCCCTCACACAGCACGCATTTTTTCCCTTATTCCCGCTGTTTCATCAAATAACCTACCTGTAGTTTTTTTACAGACAGTTGAAGATGTTGATACTCTCTTGGTGGCGAAATTTCAAGATACGGCTTCACGTTTTGCAACTAAAAAAGAAAACTGAAATTTAGTTTTAACCATTAGATAATTAGATTTACATGTAATTACTGAAAGCATGATAGCAAACTAAATCCAGAAAAATAAATGTTTCGTGGAAATTTAAACAAAATCTTTTAATAGCGCGAGAGTTTGTTTTTGACTTAGTCTCGGGTCTTTCGAGAGTTGAACCATTTAGAAAGCAATTTAGTAAACCACGTAACAGTTAATGAAAGCAAATGGCTATTGTTCAAACAGCAATAAACCTTTAAAATGTAAATGAAAGTAACACCGGTAATGTGCAATTACTATGTAAATGACGGAACGATAGAAATTAAGGAAGGACCGATTATTCTAGAATATGTTTGTCCCGCTTAACATTTAAACGGATACCACTGTAAACTAACAAGTTAAGAGGGAAAATGTTCTTTGGGAAGATTAAACAATCGATTTAACGGATCAGGTGAGAGCGGATGACAAGCATATGGATTGCAATTATACAATCGCCAGCATAGAGACAGACTATGAATAAGAATTAAAGTTGTATCATGCGAAAATTGTGATCGAATTTCTGTCGATATCAAAATTATCAGCCCCTTACCCGCTGATAATAATCTTCCGTTTGTCGCCTTCGGAAGCGTCGATCGACAGGATTGCTGCGAAATCCTGTACTCATTGCTCTGTTTGTCCAATCGATGTTTATACTTCGCCGTTAATCAAACACTCTCCGTAAATCTAAGAGTGAATGTTGACCGAATGTTTGGTTTTGTAACCCGCCTGTCTTACTTCGTCACCTTCAAAGTGTTCATGAGCCTTTTTCGTTCGACAGCGACATTTTCGCACGAAAGGAAAAGAAAATTACACAGGCATATAATCTTGTGGTCAGTCCTCATTGTTGTTTTAGCGACGGTGTGAGAATTACCTCTGTTATTCAAATGAAGCTTGACTCTCTGGCTTGTAACGAACAAACAGACCCCTTGCTTCATAGCAACTCAGTTAGCACTGGGAACCACCCTTGGACTGCCTATAAGTCACGCAAACTCCAAAAACATCTCACGCACCTCCCATTGGCTTCATTGACTTCCTGAATTTCGAGTTACATTCGGACTTTGAAGTGTACACCTTTACATATACGTATGTCAGTTTTGAAAAATAAATTCATGCTTTGATCCAGCCTTTGTTAGGATAGCGTGACCTGGTACAGAAACACAACATCACATAAAGACTGACCAATATAAATCTTCGTTCACGCTGATTGCCACGTAATTTGTACCGTAAGTTTTATTTTGTTTCAGAAACAAATAATCCTTGATCCTATCATTTTCATAGCAGCTAATTTTGAACTGATGGAAGGTACGTTTGATTCGTTCATTACAATTATTACCTTTGTTAACGTAAATATGCTCTTATGTTAATTTAAACTTGATGTTTAATGTCAACTTAAGAGTTTGATTTTAAGGCCAACTCTGTACAAATATTTTAATTTACTTATTAAGTTATTTTTAATTTTTATTACAGCAAAAGCAGTGTTTTATCGAAGAGAATTTCGCTAAAATGTGTTGTCCTCAAAATAAGTAATAAGAACATTTTAATGGCAGTTATGGTGAATAAATATTTCAGAAGCCTATTGGAGTTTGCCAGCATTAAATACATGAATGATACACAAAGGTACGATACTGATTTCGCGTCTTCAATTTTGAGGGTGGATTCTTGTTAAAACGAAAGTGAAAAGGTATCAAATAACGCATCAGACATCAGAATTTCAAATTGATTATTGAAAACGGGAAAAATTCACATCTTTAATAGATTAACACTAATATTTAATCTATTATCATCTAATACTACTCTATTATCATTTAATCTACTATCATCTTATAATATTTAATCTATTATCAATTGATAATCTCAGGAGATAATTGATATTTTCTTTGCTTTTACTTAGGAGCTTAGAGCATAAACAAATAAATCTCTTGAGTCCATACCTTCTTTGAGTTCTCTAATTGCCTTTTAAGAGGTCTTAAAAGTAGACTGATTTATTTACAATCTCCCAGTCGAGTTTTCTCGAAGCAATCGGGAAGAAGCCGCCCTTGTCTTCCGCTTGCATTCTGAACGATCGAAGGAAAACTAAGAGAAACTATGGTAGTCTTACCTACTTTCTGAAATATTTCATTTTAACAATTAAACCAAAACGAAGCAAAGAATCGACTGAACAATAAATCACGCGAACACCAGTGATTCCGCATGAATGAGAGCTTAGCACCTTGACAAGGATTTTTGACAACATTTCGTTCATACCTTTGAGTAATAGTCTTCCTCCCTTTCTTCGTTAATTCTCCTCTCCACCGTTTTATTGCAAGCAGGCAACTTCTTCCCAGGTAAACAACTATGCATGGTTTTGCTGAGAAGCGCACCCTGATCACTTTGTCCTTAAAATTAAAATGGCCTCCTTTGCAACTTCAGAAATGGATCTAGCGCTGATACCGCGCTCATATGTGTCAAACTTTCTTCTCTGTATAAAGATTCTCGGACGAAAAGGATAGACTGACTTGTATTTGATGTCAAATAGTGTACAGATTGATCTGTTTATGTCTCTTTGTTAATTGGGTTATCGCGTGAACACTACAACTTTTAGATGCTGTTTTGTTATGACGACGCAAGAGTAGCTAAGAGTTACAGTGTCAATTTGCATGTTAAGAAGCGAAAGCAGGAAGCTTTTTCTTTCAGAGTATTCATGTGGAAAAAAATGAGGGATGAAATTAATACAACGCCAATGTCTGCGTTTTGAACAATCCTTTCCTCTTCAGACTGCGGTTATTAGTTAAGCCGATTTTTCCGTTTATTCATCAGTCAGCGAAGTCTACCAAAGTATCCCGATAATAATCAACTTTAGTTCTTGCTTGATCGGTTAGCACAGGACTGCCATCGAAATAAACCGAAAATCCACCTACGCAGGAAAAAAAAGAGCTCCAACGAAAAAATTCGAATCCTTTCTCTTTCATTTGTTAAGACGATTTTTGGTGATTTCTCAGCCATAGGACAATTGTTTTCTAGCCAAGACCACTTTTATATTGCAATGTTTCTCATAGACAGAATAGGAATCTTTTATGCTGATGGAAAAAAATTTCCCTTCAAACACAATCGCGCCTTTCATGTGCCAGTCAAGCCCACTTTTTCTTGCATTAAATGAGTGTAAAATCTAAAATATTTATAACTTTTTCAAAATATGAGACCAAAGCAATATTACAAAAGCCAAGAAATTTTTTAAAATCCTTCTCAATCAATGAATACACACGACTCTTTGAACATTATTGATCCTAGCAGTTTGCATGACACTTTTCTTATATACAAAACTAGTATGTTACCTAACGAGCCAACGAGTTTTCGGAAGGCATGTTCGTAGAACACCCGTACGCAAATCGGAAGTGCCGATCGTGGCTCGGATTCTCGCGAGGGTTTACGGTTTTTCCTTCGTCCCACGCTTAGGACAAATGTCCAGAATCTTTTATTCAAATAAAAAAGGTTCAACTATGTTTATATTTGACCTCTAATCGTTTGAAATTGTAATTTTCAAATATTTTGATATCTAAAGTGTTATAATCGATGCTATGGCAGCCAGCCAATCTCGCCAAGTTATCATCTCACGGACGGTGACCAAATATCAAATGAGTGAAGAGTAATCCACAAAAATAGCTTTGAGGGAAATGAACTAAAAGGAATCGTTGACACAGGAGACATGTAAACGAATACTTAGATTAACTGAGCATTTAGCAACGAAAGGCATTACCTTTCTCAATTACCAACTAGATCATTTAATGCGATTATAGGAATGGTCGAGGAAAATTTTGACTCATTACTTACTGTGGTACTGTGTGGTGAAAACTGCTAGTGTGAGAACAAGACAAAAGTTACCTTTTTCCTGTGTTTCTTGTAGTTTTCATAATTCCACATCTTGTTCATTAACTTGCTGGACGGGGGAAATCCGCCATTTTTGTAGGATTGTAGTGACGTCATTGCTGGTGTTTGGTTGAAGAGAATTTATCTAAAAAAGAATCGACCCAACATGTACATGAAAATTTGTTAAAAAGGTAAATTTACATTCCTCACATGTTAAGTTTAAGAAAGAAAGGATAAGATCACATTCTCTCCTAAAGGAGAACAAAGTGGAAATGAGCGGAGCTGATTTTGCAAAAGTTTTAAAACCCTAGAACGATGGCAGATTATGTCTTCTGACGACATCCGCTCAGAATGTCGAAACTTCTGTCACACCACGCGATAAGAGACGATTTCATGAAGAGTTGGAACACCTCTCTGGTTTAAGCCGACTAGTGCACTACTGAAGGAGAAAAGATGGGGGCTGGAGACTGTTGCAACATCTGTGTGGACCTCCAGATATGGTCCCATAAAAGTTTCTTCTTTTTTGAGGGAAAAACGAGCCCCAGGGTCCGCCGCTTTTGCATATTCAGCTGTAAAATAAGGAGGAAATAGCTCAGAAAAGACGTTTTAAATCATTCCCCCAGTAATAAGTGCACTGAGGTTTTAAATTATTGGATAGCAGCTATCGCTTAATGGTAGAGTTGTCATCGATCTTATCCCGACAAAAGATTATAGAACACGCTGAAGAAAACTTACCGTTATATAATATACAGTTGGTTGCGATTATTCACTCCCTGTGTCTCGTGCGTTCACCTCTTAAAATAGTACTTCGTAACAATTCCACATGGTGCCTCACAATGCGTGAGAAGGGTGAATGCTAAAAATTATTCACCAGAAAAATAATGGGAATGAAGCACATGCTAAAGTAACACTAGCACACGTACGTAATTTCGCATTTTGAAGAGAAATGTGACAGTTTAGTCACTATCACTAAAACAGAAAATGTGTATGACGTTTTGAGATATTTCGAAATACACAGACAGGTAAAAACCAACTAAAGTCAGCGAGACGTCAATTACTTTTTATCAGTGTTACCTGACAATATGAAAAGACCAAAATTTGAAAATCCTGGAAAATTTATCATCAGGGAACTTTAAGGAAAATGCTGAAATAAAATGACAAATAAATCTTGCCATCTGAGTGAACAATATGCTGCCCCTGAGTGGGAACTGTTCGATTGCTAAACAACTAAAGGCCGCTCCAAGTTCCTTTTGATGCAAAAGCGCGAGCGGACACTTGGAGTTAATTTATCAAGATTGAACCTCTCTGAAAGTGGATGCATTTGGAACCATTGCAATGGTTCTAGGGGCTTGCAGTGATGCCTGCAACGCATGTTAGTTTAGCCTCAGCGGGAAAAATTTAACAAGTCACTCAGATCTTTTATTGCTTGTATGCGCCCTACAGCTACCGAAATTGAAGTAACGTAAATTTATTTTCTTTCGATTATTTATTTTGATCTTGACGAAAATTTAAATACTCGTCTGTAGCTTTGTTGAGGGTTCGAGTCCATGGGTGTGCAGGTAATGTCGATCAGATCCGGTTTGGAATCTGTGTTTTAAAGTTCGTTTTTCTTACCCAGGCGGATGTTGCTTTCAGAACAAAACCCTAGCCCTAAAATTCATAAAGAACCGCTGCAAAATGGATTGTTTACAGTTCTAAACTTGAATTAAATAAATTTTAAGCATGAAGTATTTAAATTTTGAATGTCTTAAACCCCCAGATCTCGTATGCTGCTTTAAAAGCACCGCCGCACTTGGAGGAGAAATCTTTTGAGTCCATGTAAGACATGGTTTTCACCGATCATTCGCCAGACAGAGTTTTGATATATGTGTAAACTTATGTTCTTCTCGAGTATTTTATTTGCCAAAATTAAGCTTTGACAAGGTTCGATTTGCAGATGTGCGCGACAATATCTAAGACAAAGAAATGTACTGAACATTATCAGTAGTACATCTCGTAGTATACGAATGATCCGTACAATCTAGGATATTTTTACAGACTGAGAGAAATTGAGCAGTACCTTGAACTAAACTGCATCAGAATAAGCGTCTTTTGTGGAATATTCTCAATCCTTGAGGCGGGACAATATTTCGAACCAAACTATCGGTGGAAGGACCTTTTTTCGCTTGCCATATGGTTCAATCCCAAAATTTTGCACACTTTAGGGGAAATTTTCGTGAATTTCGGCTCACAACCTGCTCCAATGCGCTTCACACGTAGTTCAAGTTAAGTTATATTGCCATGGAAATAACGCTGATCATTCTAAACATTTTCATTGACTTGACGTAGATAAAACTAAGTAAACAAAATTTAATAACATAAAGTAAGATGCATTGTTTGGGTTTGTTTAAGATAATGATTAAAATTCAGTCTTCCCGCTGTTGACCTGTTTTCTGATAGCATGGTCCCGAGATTTCATTGATTGAAAATCAGAATAAAAATTTTGTTCCTTCTGGATTATTTGACTAATGAATGAAACGAAACAGTGGAAGACCTGATCCCTGCATTCACCTGCCCTCCACTAAATAATTCATAATCCTTGTTGATTGGTAGATCGTCTTGGTGGCGATAATCTGCTTACATTACCGACGCATTCGTGATTAGACATTCTGTGTTTGACCCTTTGTCCAATTAGTTGAGAATAAATTTTCCATATCTTTAAATGAGCAGAACAAAAGGGTGCTTTCATCAGTTTCCACGAGAAATTATTGTTTTCAGTTTTAGTATGAATTTACTGAAAATTATCATATGTGTTAAATTCTTGGTATTTCCCTGCCGTAAACATGTGTGAAGTATCGTGAGAAATTGATAAAATATTCCACTTCTTTGAATCTGCATTATAAAATGGATCTTTTTTTCTGAATTGCCCTTTGAATAAGTCCAGTAAAGACGTTTTTATTTCCGGTAAAACTCGTTTCCAGTCATGAGTTTTATGGAAATTGATTGCCTCTGACTGTTGTTATTTCTGAAACAGACGTTTCGGATAATGCTTAAGCCTTCATCAGTGATGTGAAAAAACGAAGATCGTTATCATACGCTATTTAAAGTTAAAAAACGTGACGCGAAGCTTGCGCGCGTAACTATGTATTTGATGCTCGCGCGAGGTCTTTATAGGCTTCTGGAAGTACGATGTGATCGTTCCCAGCCGATTCGGATCCAAAGTAGAGTGCCAGGCTTCAGGGAAAAGTCTCTCGTAGTAATTAGATTCGAAACCAACGACCCTGACGTCTGTAAAGTCCATGTTATGGTCGAAAAGGTGGACTTGGCTTGCGACTTCGGAGCTTAAGTCAAAACCTTTTTGTGCTCCGCAATTCTGATCTTTAATGACCTTTTTGTTTGGCCATAGTACTTAAAATTACACTGTGTGCAATTGATTTTGTACACCATGCCTGACTTCAGGCGGTCAGGTTCGTCTCGCTCCTTAGGGCGTGGAAAAATGCTGTTGATTGTTTGTTGTGGTTTGTAGGTTACTTTGACCTTTTGTTGTTTCCGCAATATGCAACTTATTTTCTCGGAAACACCCTGTACATACGGCAGCACTACAAAGCCATTGAAGTTGGTCTGGGCGGGTTGTTTAAATCATGACTCTCTCACAGTTCCGTATAAAAGTCATTGGATAATTGTTCTCTCGCAGAACGGCCTTTACTCGTTGTATTTCTACAAGAATTGCCCATAACCCTTTTAAAACTGTGGCTGACGCATGTGCACTAATAGGGTGTTGCCTTTTAAACAAGTCTATTGGGTTAACGATGTGATGCATATCTATCGATTGTTTCCATGGCAAAAAACAAGTCAGAAGATTCGATGCTCTTCCTTCTCCGGATGAATGCTAGCCATTGAAGGAAATTCACGCCATGGTTGTCACAAACTCACTTTTATGCTCCTCGGTAGAGAGAGTTTTTCGTTGAGGCATCAATAAACTAAACGGCTTGGCAAAACTCACATTAACATCGCAAAAAAAATCATACCGAGTCTAACGTTCTATCAAATCACGATGATTCCACTGAAAGTTGACGCCTTCTCTCTACACATTCCGCCATAATGTCTCTAATGGTTTTTTCACCGAGTAATGTGTTAAATTCATTCAGGTCCGCCAGGCGGCTGAACTCTTTTTCCCGATAGTGGAAGTTGAACGTGCTATAAGGATTATGGCGACCCTCGAAAAGTGAAAAGTCGGCGTAGGCTATTTCCTCTTCTGTACTGCGAAATATGCCTGAAAAAAAAAAAAAAAAAACGGGAAAAACACTATGATTTTCTTACTGTCAGTAGTGGGCTCCTGGTTCTAATGAGTAAGTCTAGATCTAGGAAGACCTACTTTCATACCCAGACCTTACACGGCCAAGCGGTTTCAGTTGCACGGTAAGATCTGGGTACAAGTTGAGATAGGCAGGACTTTGGGTGAGCCTCAGAAGAAGGGCAATAAACCATTAGATTAGAAAAATTTTCAAAGCTAGAATGGGACAAATTCAGTTGTCAGGTCTTAGCTTTTTCTCACATGGAACAACTTTCTTCAAGAACGTCTCCCCCCCTCCCTAAAAAAATTACTGCAAAATAGATAATCTTGACAGAAAAATACATCCAGCTTGAGAGTTCCTCTCCTACCCCACCCCATCTCAAACCCATTAGTCTAGTACCCAGACCTTCCGCAGCCGAGCAGTTGTAAGGGTTTCTGCGTAAGGCAAATCTTAGATACCAATAATCAATAAAATCGTTTGATCCAAGAGGAAGCAAGCAACCGCTGACTTTCATGATATAAGAATAATACAAAACAAATAATACCTGGTCTAATTTCCTCCTTGAAAGTTTTATTTGCCAGCAAAAAGTGGATTAGAATTGGGCAAGTTGGATCGTTAAGATCACGAAATACATAAAACTCTTTTATGCCGTGTTTTTTATACTGCAATCCTGCTGGAATGGGAGGGAATTTCAAATTGTTCTCTCGGGCCCATTTTTCTGCCAATAAAAGCTCCTGAGGAGACAAATAAAACAGATTGAGTCAGATGAAAACCAAACTAGGAATTCGTATTCGTGAACTATATCAAACATCTAAACCATAGCTTTCGATCACATAGACTTTCAGTAACTTACTTGTCAATCGATCAATCTTTATTTTTGGACTATTTACAAATAATTATTTCTAGATTAAAGTACATTTAAAAGGAGTGACATTGGCAAACTAAATTACACAAGTAGTGAAAAGCAAAATGTGCCGCAGTGACCAAAGTAGCTTAAGCTTTCGAGTTGGTCACTGCCACAGACAATTAATTGGCATGAACATGTACATTATAGGCATTTACATAACAGTAAACCAAACTAGGAATTCGTACGAAGATGTAGTTCAGGTTATAAAGCATCTGACTGCGAAACTGGAACTCGCTTAAGATATGACTCTCAAAAAGTTGTAAGACAAAATGGTTTTCTTCCAACACACGAAAAGTATGTCTTTACCAGAGAGTTTTTTTTTAACTCAGTTCAAGAGATTGTATCCTGTTCTTGCAACGGAAAACCTATTTAGGCCTGTCATAAGTCGGAAAAGCTTGCTTAAGCTATATAGCATTTAAATTTTTTCGAGCCAGGCATTCTTTTCTTGTTAATATGGTTTACGTGGTTAATTAAAGGGCATCGCATTACAGTACCTCAAAAGGAAATTCGACTTCTCTCTTTCGTATACTGAAGTCAAAAGATATAAACACATCCACTTTGCGTTCTGCTCGCAGTAGGGGAGGGAAGGGTGAGTTGAACACGAGCCCGCTGTCAACCAAGTAGATATGACGAGAATTAAAAGCTAACTCGTCAGCAGCTTTGGTCATACCATCTTCAACATCTTCTCCTGCAATGTATGTAAAAAGGTTTTGAGTTCTACATTCACAAGACTGATTAAGAAATCAAATAAAAGTGGGAAGGTAGAACGAACTTTTAAAAGAAAGCTATTTCTGGACTACAAAAGGTATCGTCTGGAATAAGGATCTTGAGAATTGCTTCAAATGAAGTATAGACGACGACTTCTTCATTTCCTTGTTATATCACGCCTCAGCTTTCGCACGGTGCGCCCTATTACTTCGAAGTCTTTCCTCTTTTTTTTTTTTGTGAACAAGTCAGCTATTTGGATGTGTACCCATGCATATAGTTGGTTCGGAATGAAAAATGGAAATGATTTTCAGGGCGGCAGCCTTCGCGGAGGTGGGGGATGGAGCGAACGGAAGTTAGTTATTGCCTGTTGTCAATTTAATTTAACGAAACTTAAGAAGCCAATAATGGGTACAAACCTGACAGAATTGATGCTGTTAAGACTTGAAGACCGCGAAGAAAATTATGTACCAGTCCTGCTCGGCCAGTGCGTGTTCTAAATACGGCTAGTTTTTCTACAAGAACTTCAAAGAACCGACCAAAGAAACCTTTTTCCTCCTCATCTTTGACCTTAGTTTCATTGATTGTGTTGTTCTCGGGCATGTTTCCATCTGTGGCATCATCATCATCTTCTTCGTTTTCACTCTCACTATCCATGTCATCAGGTCCATCTTGATTGTCAATCATTTCCCCTAAAATATAGAGTTGAAACCTTTAATTATATTTAATTTTATTTAATAGAGTTGAAACCTTTAAACCTTTAACGGAAATGACATATCATTGCCAAAGTTGTCTCGGTTTCCACGTCACAAAGTGGCAAAGAATATTATAACTTCTACTATTTTTTACGTGAAGTAAGACCATCTATAACCACATACTTAATTCCTTTCTCAGGTCTCCACGATTGCTCATCTCTGCGATTGTGTCATCCGGGATTCTACCTTCACAGAGAACGCGCTGCAGCAGTATAGTGAATGCGCTGCCCCATATACCTGCGGTCACGACAAAAATTAGTATTTCTCATTCGACGATGGATAAAACTGGGAGGGACAATTTTTAAATAGTTTATAGTACTAGCTGTAAAGTCTTAAAAGTTAATGCACAGGACAATTTTTAATGTGTTAGTGAAACGAGCTCGTTGAGTAGCTCAAAGCGAATCGAACAAATGATACATATATGAAGAAATGTTATCGGAGGACACATCGGAGTTTTCACGAAAGACAGAGTGTTGAGTGAAATCTTAGAAAATAAGCCAGTTCGACTGAAAGAGCTCATATGCCAGCCTGTACTCGTCAGCAAAGTAGGATGTGAGCCTGAACGGAGCGCGGTCTACATCTGTAGTTTAAGCAAATTTTTTTTTTTTTTCGGAAAAATTTTTAAATTTACTCTCCGAATCTATTAGATGTGACTAGATGAGGTAAATGCACCTGTCATGAAGAGGGCAGTGATCTAGGCAGCACACCCCCATCAAAACCTCTCTTAAGCGGTTGTTATAAACTCGTATTCGTGTTATCTGACAAACCTTAATTGCTTGATATTTATCAAGAGATCACTCGCTTACCTTGTAAATAGTGAAGTGGAGGTTCAGGGTACGGAGCCACAAGTTTACCACAAAAAAACTTGCTACCAAAGCATTCGGTCCTCATGAAAGTCCCATACCTTGCTATGCCTATTTCGTACGGAGAAAACTCCAGCCATTCTGAAACATTTCAATCAATTTAAAATCTGTAAGCACTGAATATGAATAGGGCTCCACTTTATATCATATAGAAACTGGCCCATGAGAAAGAGATATAAAATCCTATATTGAATGGTCCCAAATAACTTTGAAGAACATTGTGGATGATTTCAGTACAAATACTTGTTGGTGTTTACGGTTGCTTTTCTGCACAGTGTGCTTTTTAAATTTTCGAAAGGGAAGCTGAGTATTTCACAACTTTTTATGGTATATTGTGATATGATAGAGAATTTAACGATGAAGGTTTTTAAACAATGAGTTGCTTAGGATAGAACTAATTTATAAAACTTTCGTTTGTAGCAGCACCAGTTGCACTTGTCAAACATGGACCTTTTGGGGATCAGTTTTGGCATCGCAAATCTCTACGGGCAAACAAAGTCGCTTGGTCTACCCAAGCATGATAGATGAAAGAAAATCCGCTGTCCACTCAGTTTGCACCCATAAGCGCCACTTAATAGGCTTCCTAAAATCATGCACAGGCTTGTCATACCCAGGCTTCCTAAAGAACGTGGAGAGAGACGTGCAATAGTCAAGTTCTCAGGGTATGAGCTGAACCTACCACAATATTCCCTGGCAGAGACGTCTTTTTTCACGTGTACACAGGTGTACAGAGGAAATGGTACCATGGCTTCTTGGATTTTCTTCCGATGTTGACTTAGTTTCGGAATGTCATCTCTCTGTCAGAAAATTAAAAAGGGTGATAAGTTTGTGTCAATTTAAGGCATTGTTTTTGTCTTATTTTCTTTTAGGGTTGTTTGCCTTGTTTTCGAGTTTTTGTTTTTGTCTTTGTGTTAATAGTAACTTCAAAAAACGACCTCGTCTTCATGATGTAAGAATAACCCACCCCCTCCCCCCCCCCCCATCATTTGAAGAAAAAAGCTCCAAGCGACCAGGTTGTCATTAAAAGTGTCAGAACGGATTTTGGGAAAACGTTTCACGAGAGTTCTTTCACCACTACACTTTTTTTTTCCAAAAGCTTTATTTCATCACTGACAAGGTAAAATGCTTTCTAGAAAAGAAAAGGTTTCACTGACTTACATCCTTTAGGATCGTTTCGCCGACCAAATAACCAAAGAAGTCAGTAAAACTGACTGGCTGTCCACGTCGGTTCTTCTCTTTAATAATCTTGAGATGTCTGTACATCCAAGATGGCGTTATCAACAGCCACATCCAGTTATCATTAATGTT